TGTGTTCCTTGGTATGCTTCTCTTAGAGCTTTAACGCTGCCATGGTTGTCATGGTTCTCTTCTGTGATGCAAATAGCATTGTCTCCTACAATGCTAACAGCAGCTGTGGTGAAATAGTTCACTAATTGCTCAGCTACCTCGCATTGATCTTTTACAATGATGCCCTCTTCTGTTTTTAAACTGATTAAGGTGGACTCCTTAGTTTTGCTATTAATAAATGGCCTAAAGGCGTTGTAAAACTCCCTTGGCTTGGATTTCAGCTCCTCTGACTTGGTGAACCAGTATTCCATGATAGCCTTCTTCCGTTCGCGTGTGGCAATATTCTTGTACTTTCTTTTAAGTTCCATGTTCTCTGGCGTTCGGTTCTTCGCAAACAGTATGGCGTGTTTCCACTTATTCCTTATCGCCTTTTTCCAAGTTGAAGTCAGTATAGGGTACGTCCTCTTCACGCACACGTTTTTTTTTTTTATAGGTGCGTGTGCGTTCACTGTGCACTCAAAGAGAGCGATCCAATAGTCGTACTTATCATCTACATCAGTGAATATTTCACCCACGTGTCATGAAGATCCTCAGATCGCGTTTTATGTGATTGTGCATCCAAATGCCTCTCGAATCCTCGATGCAATTCTGCCGGTTAACGTGGCCGAAAACACAGATACCACGGGAAAACTTTGGTGCGAGCTTCTGTTCTCTGATATCTACAAGAATTCAAATGAGCACAGTACAAACATGAGTTCACATCATTTTTCTAAGAGTGTGAGTGCTTTCTTCCTAACTAATTTTAATTCAAGAAATTTTAAAGCTTTGCACTGACTTTTCAATCACATTGCTCCGTTTCAATTTTTTCACTTCAGCTAAGGGTTACAAGTTGTTTCGTACCTGCCGTGTTGTTTCGTGCCCAGCTAGGCCAATTGGTATCCATTCAGTGAAGTCGTCTCTCCGTTTCGTTGTAATATTACCTAATACGCGACCACCAAAGGAGAAAGAGAGAGTGACACTAGCCGCATGTTGATTAAGAAAGTCACAACAGACTCTGCTGCTAAAGATACTAGTCTCGCTTCATGCTAAGCTGAAATTTAGCTGCACAAGCATATATACATATATATATATATATTTCTTTTCTTTTTTTGTATCTATTTCGAAATTAAAATTAGCGATAAAAAACCATGACGTTTCGATCTCTCCAAGGTCATTTTCACGTGAGTAAAAGTTTTATAAATTAGCATAAAAAGTACAAAAAGTTGAAATGGGTAAGAATGTGGCGAACGCGAAAGTGTGTTAAAATGTGTAAGAAGGTGTCAACTTTTTCTACGTTTTTGAGCTAATTTAGAAAACTTTTACTCGCTTGAAATTGACTTCAAAGAGGTCGAAACGTCGTGCTTTTTTATCGCTAATTTTTATATCCAAATCGATCTCTAAGAAATTACTTATCAGGATCATTTGTATCTTACTAGCTTTCCTCTACTTTTTGCCGTTCCCAACAATCAACAAATATTTCACTTGCGAGGCCGCGTGAAATATTGCGAATTCATGTATATCGGACGGTTGCGAATTGACCAGCGGTTTCGCTACGAACGGATTCAATCAGTTCGGTATGAATCAGTTGAATTTGGGTGCGAGATGACGGAGTACCGAACCAATGTGAGTATGAAACGACTGGATGCCAAGTTAAGGCTCGTCTTGTTACGCACGAGTGTCGGAACATGATCAAAGATGAATTAAAAATAAAATAATCAAATTAATTGTTATGATCTAAAACCAGCGATTTCGATTCAGTTTTCTCCTTTCAAATATACTGATTGAAAAATTTGTGGGTGGCACATGTATCTTCAACAAAGGGTCGGCGTGAGAAAGGAAAAGCCGCAATTAGAAAAAATGTCAAACTTACTAGTGATAATCAAGCAAGTAGAAGCTTGAGTAAAAGGCAGAGATCAAGTCAAAATATAATGACTGTAAAACTATGTAACCTTGATAAGTTTCTCCTCAAGTAATGGTCTTGAAATTTAATATCTGCCTTCCATTTGTCCAAGACCTGACACGCCGGTCAGTCTGTTCAAGAATGTAATTTGGTTATATTAACAAAGTTGAAATTGTAAATTGGCCACCGTAAAGAGTTAAAAAGTTTCCGGCGTTAGCCCTACGTCAGAACGAATTCGTCATTAGGAATTCGGCATGTACTCTGACCAAGGCCTAACGCTCGAAACGTCAGCTTTTTAACTCGTTATGGTGACCAATTCACAATTTCAACTTAGTTGATATAACCAAATTACCTTGTTACTACCACCGACGCGGCACCACAGTTTCTTTAGAAACTTACCCCCTTTGTTCAAGAATGAGTTTGAGGGGAAAAAACTAAATGCAACTGAAAATGGATCGATAAGAACAATTTTCAGAGAACAAGTTAACCCTCCTCGGAGTGAATGTCGTTTGCGAGACGTTTTGTTGAAATCGATTCGTGCTTCGTGCCTATTACAAGATTAAGTGTAATCCAAAACAAAAACTTGGCTTTGTATATGGTTTTGTGGCTCTAACTTATCCATCTTCCACGATAAATGTCTTATAATAAAACTATTTCGCTACTATCTTCGACAGACACCGTGCTCTTCCTCTCCATGCCAAAACGGAGCCATCTGCTCAGCGAATTACAAAGAGGACACATTTGATTGCCTCTCTGTAGATGGCTTTATTAAAGCATATTGTGAAAAAGGCAGCCATTTTTCTAATTGTGAGCTATGGGGTGCATTTGATGCATGGTCGCCACAAGTGAGATGCATTTCAGATAGATCACTACTAACACAAGTTAGTAGAAAAGCATATCTCTGTAAAATAGCTTTCAAGAACGTCCTAAATTACATATTTGAATTCAAAGTGGAAAATAAAAAGTAGAAAAAAGTAGGGGAAAAAGGATGAAAACATGATCAAGCTCTACATTCCATTTTTTTTTCTTCTTTCCAGATGCTGTTTCTTGTAAGGAATTGCATGAAGCCAACAAGTAAGTTCAAAGTAAAGTTGAAAACAAATCTGGAACTTTTCGAATACATTTCTGTGTCTTTAAAATTGTTAAATGCTCCGTAAATAATTATAGAAATTCATACGTTATAGTGCGTAGTATTCAAATATATGAGTATGTGCCTCGCTTCAACAGATTGAATGGCAGTCAGGTGGTTGCTCTTCGCTTTAACACAGAACCCGTTTCTATTTTATGTCAAATGGGAGACTTTGGGTGCGGAGCAGGGCCGTGGACACCGATCATGAAGACTAATGGCAACCAGGTTAGACCTGAAGTGTTAGCCCAACATGCCGCCATCTAGCGAACTTTTCAAGCTCATATTGAGAATGAATTTGTTTGCCTGCCGCTTACAATTACCAGAAGTCGCATGTAAAGGAGTTCTAAATTCCGTGCATCAGGGCAATAACTTCAAGAAATAAAGCTCGCAAACGTCAATTAACGTAAGATAAATAGAAAATTTAACTGGTCGACGACGTAATGTTAATGATTCTGCTATAATGTTTAATATAGTTTGTAACAGTTATGTTATTTTAATTAATTATTTCCGTTTTGGATATTTGGGACAGAGTAGGTGTGCTAGTAAATGCCCTTTAGAGTATTGGAAAAATACAGCCTCATTTTTAACAAAATGATTAAACTTTCGATTCTGCGCTCCGATGCTTTACCGCTGAGCCACAGAGACTCTATGATGAGAATGGCCTATTACGAGCTTCTTAATGGGCCTTACTCACCACAGAGTCTCTGTGGCCTAGGGGTAGAACTCAGTGGTAGAGCATCGGAGCGCGGAATCCGAAGGTCTGAGGCTCGATTCCTCGTGAGGACTCAGAATTTCTCTTTTGTCCCACGCTGGTGACTAGACGAAAATAATCTTTCCAAATTTCTTTACCGAGCTTAAAACTTTTAAGTTTAAAACATCTCTTTTACTAATTAAACTTTCGTTTGTCAAATACAATTTCTGTAAGAAATATGCCTACAATTAATTTCATTTCGGGGCATTTGAAATACAGTGCTCGGAGATTAATTAGATAGGAAAAAAACCAAATGAAGCTCGCAGACATTATTAAATTGTAAGCATCAAGATCTCCAAAATGGTTTGTTAAGTCATATTTTTCAATTACTTTTCAGAATACCTTCCATTTTGACTCCGTTTACTGGACTGATTTAAACAGTTACAACCTTCTAGGAGCCCTGACAGGCTTTGATGACAGTGAGACCAAATTACCAACCTATTGGAGTACACCCTTCTCCAAGATCTGTCTGGGTATGAAGGTTGACCAACAGCTCAGATTTATAGTAATCAACTAGCCAGCAGCCTCTTTGTACTCACTGATCGCTAATGGGCCGGATACCGTGCCATTTGTTTGCAACGTTTCCTGCTTGTGCACAATCATGGCTTCAAGGTTTGCAAATATTAACTCAGTGGAACAATCTATTGAGGACCTAGAAAACGAACATACAAGAAAGAAAACTCAACAGAATACTCTTCGATATCAGTTTACGCAGTTAGTTTGGCCGCACTGATTATCAACATGGCCAGCAGGCAATGCCGCTCTTTACCAGTGCTGTTATTCAAAGCGGTCAATTTAACATTTCTACTAGCAGCCTTAATCATTTATCGCCCTTGGCCACTCCAGAAACTGAAATAAAATCCACAAAGAGGTACAAAAGACTAAAAGTACTCGACTCCGATTCAGAATAG